ATCTATAATATGATTCAATAAATATAGAATTTCTTTTAAGATGGATTTACTGATTTAGTCACTAACCTGACAATTTTTCAGGTACTGCTATAAATACGGAAAGCTAAGGATTGAATTAGAAAGTTTACAAGGACTAATATATAATTATGCTTAAAGGTACAAATTTGCAAGTAATGAAGAAGAAAAAAGGTTCAACAACAGTAGCTATATGTTTGGTGGTGTTTGTATCCATCTTCTTTCTTGATGTCATTGTTACAATCTTCAGATCATCTGTGACATATTCAATTAGGACTGAAGGTATGGCATATCAAAGCTCTAAAAGACTTATTCCTTTCCTTTCATATACAGCATATCCTAAACCTTCCTCTTCCTTCTATTCACGCTACCCTTTCTCCAGTTACAAAGAAGATTTGACACGAAGCATGGAAAGACCCAAAACAAATCCTAAATAAAGTCCGCAATAAAGCCAATACCTCCCAATGACCCAACCCATCCGAAAGTGAATAAGTAAGTAATCCTACAGTACCCTGACTCATAGCACAGGCAACACTAAGATTAAATTTCTTTCTCTTCTGGAGGACATTGGTTGTTAAAAATCCCATATACAGCAGTTTGCACAAAAATTGATTAATTACTTCTCAAGACACTGCTTATGTTATTTGAGTGGGTTACTGGTATTCAAATATAGAGAGCTTGCATTTTGTGTGCTTTACTACTAGTAAAGTTAAAAGTGCTATATCTCTCCTTTCTTTTCTGTTTTATATATATTATTTATTTTTTTCTATGTAGAACAAGAGCTCTGGGAAGAAAACACAAGGAGGCCAAGGCACACAACGCCGATTAGATGTGATCGTCATGTTTTTTATGACATGTGTCATGTAACTAGTCCAAACATCTTGGATCCAACAACTGCAACTCTATTTGCAGTGGAATCCAACAACTCAACACCCCCATCATCTGAAAGGATCCGCCCTTACCCTTTCAGATTCCGAATAAATCCCTCCATCAAGGAGCTAACACTCACCACAGCCCCATCCAACACCCCCTGTGGAGTCACACACAGTACCCCAGCCCTAATATTCAGTACAGGTGGATACAGTGGGAATTTCTTCCATGACATTAGTGATGGCTTCATTCCGCTCTTCATCACCATCAATACCTACTTCCCTGATAAAGATGTCATCCTCGCTATTGTTGATTATAAAGATTGGTGGCCACATAAGTATGCTGAACTGTTAACCCAATTCAATATTCCCCACCCAATCATCAATCTTGACAAAGAAACAACAGCCCATTGCTTTCCATCAGCAATTGTGGGGCTCATTTCGCATGGCCCCATGACTTTGAACCCCAGACTACAGCCTGGTTCCCACCCAAAGACGATGCTTGACTTCCGTGCCTTGATAGCAAATGCCTATGATCAAGGCTACACAATGCCATATCAACAGCAGATAACGGCTCAACCAAAGATTGTAGTAATGAACCGCAAACAAAACCGCAGGATCCTAAACATAGATGAAGTGCGGAGAGCCACAGCAGGAATGGGATTTGACATTGTTGATTTTGAGCCAACAGCTGACACTCCCTTGCGTGAATCTTTTAGGCTCTTTGACACTAGCCATGGACTAATAGGGGTGCATGGTCAAGGGCTAACACACGCATTGTTCCTCCGACCTGGGGCAGTGTTTATACAAGTGGTGCCAATTGGACTAGATTGGGCGGCACATAATAGTTATAAACGGATCGCAACTGGATTGGGATTAAACTACATGGAGTACCAGATAGAAGCGCAGGAAAGCAGCTTAGCAGAGAAGTATGCAAGTGACAGCTTGGAGCTTAAAAACCCAAGAGCTATTGCAAATGGAAATTGGTCCAAAATGGATATATATATGACCCAAGATGTTAAGATAGACATATTGAGATTTAACAGATATCTAGAGAAGGCTTATCAGAAGTCTAAGAAATTCATAATACAGGAACGTTTGTCTGTTCAACGTCAAGCCAAAACTACAAAAGTTACAGTGGAGTCCTTTGAAAAAAATGATGACTTTAGAGATTCGGTGTAAAAAAATGTCCTGGCACATAGAATTCAAATTAAAAAAGCCTAAATAGAATAATAGGCAAACACTGAGATCTATTGAGTTGGGTCTCCTAAATAGAGGTCATGTATGGATTGCATTGAGTTCACTGCTTTGTTACATCAAGGAACAAACAGGAGTCCAGGAAATGATAAAGTAGCCTCTATGATATAATGGGCCAACATTGAGCTTAATTGACAAATTGGATTCAAACTCTGTTAAACTCAATCCTTTTTTGCTTCAAAGTCTATATGAACACTTTATATTTTCTAAAAACAGAAGCAAGTATAACTCAAGCATATACAAAAATACTTGAGTGCAATCCAGTTAATTTGAATGCTAGACTCTGTTCCTTTTGTATTCGTCATCATACATTTAAATTGTGAGCGTGCTTTGAGTGTCGAACTTCAAACAATCTAAGTGCTACAAGGTTTTTCCAACAATGGAAACATCTTCTACACAGTTACATAGAGCAGACAATACTAGTCATGGAGATCATTGCGCTAAGGAGGAGCGAGTCCATTGAGTGGCAGCAGCAGAGTTCAAGGAGAGCATCACACATGAGTTTAGGTCAGAGATGCTAGGCGATTTTTTATTAGTCTGCTTAACCTAGTTGTGATCATTTCCTACTAGAGGGTCTGATCTGCCTAGGGCCCTAGACCAAGTCTTGTGATTTTTATCCATTGGAGACTTCCACATCAAAAACATAGATTCATATGCATGGATATTTTAAAATATTTAGTTATTTTATATCAGCAACATGAATATTTTTACTTGCTTTCTGGTTAATTGAAATTCAAATTATAGTTCAAAATAATTTGATTTTTAAATTTACGTTATTCATATTTATTATTTTTTGCATCTATAGTATTATTCAATAAATATAGAATTTCTTTTATAATGGATTTTCTTATTTACGGCCTGTTTGATTTCCTAATTCAGCGCTGAATGCAGAACACGATAAGTGATTTTTAAAAATAAGTGCGTTTGATAAAATTTTAGGACACCGCTTAACATGGTAAGTACCGCTTAAAAGAGGCCAAAATTTTAAGCGTTGGAAAGGTTGCTTATAGCTTATCGCAGAACACGGTAAGTGGTTGGGTTTAAAAAATAAATTTCCAATGACTACTCTAACCTCATATAATCATATATATTTAGTTGCTTGTTATTGCGAATGAAAATGAATTACATGGAACAAATTCCAAAAAAATAAAAAACATAATTCTACCTAATATATTTTAAACTATTACCATTCATATTGATTCACTATATATAGAAAATAATTATTTATATAAGAATTTTATTCAATTTCACGTACTTTCTTTAATATTGTTAACACCATTTTTATACCCTACATAAATATTATGTAATTATTTATATTTTAAACTGCTACCATTCATATTCATATTGATTCACGATATATAGAAAATAATTATTTATATAACAAAATTCTATTCAATTTCACGTATTTTGTTTAATATTGTTAACACCATTTTTATACCCTACATAAATATTATGTAATTATTTATATAATAGAATTTTATTTTCAGAGAAGAATTGTGTTTCAAATATTATAGAATTACTTTATTTAGTAATAATATTTTTGAATATTTATTTATCATGCAGGAAAAAAAATATTTACTTATCATATACTTTAACCATTTTAAACATATTACATTGTAGATAAATATTATTTGTGTGATGCAGCATACACACACCCGAAGATTTATGGTATCTTATAGTAATGTAAGATATTGGTTAGCCGACTTTCGAAATGGTGGTCGTCCTAGAACAAAAGAAGAGCTATTTAACCATGCACATGCCAAGCTAAGGAATGTGATTGAACGAACATTTGGAGTATTAAAGGCCCGTTTTCCAATCTTGAATTTATATTTTTTTATGATTATATTTGACATTAATATTCATTGTTAAATTGATATATTTCATTGAGTAAATGTGGTTGTTTTATTAATATTTTTGTATTATAAATATAAAACTGTTATGAGTATCAGATATTAAGGGCAAAAATGTAATATGTACAACTTTCAGACTTCAGCTTTTGTATATAACAAACAATCTTAATAAATTCAGCGCTTAAAATTAAAACGTTATCAAACAGGTTTTCAAATTAATACATTCAGTGCTTAAAGTTTCAGCGCTTAAAATTCAGTGCTTGAAATTTTCAGTGCTTAATTTTCAGTTTTATCAAACAGCACCTTAGTCACTAACATGATAATTTTACAGGTACTGCCATAAACATTTAAAGCTAAGGGTTGAATCAGAAAGTTAATAAGAACTAACATATAATTATGCTTCAAGGTACAAATTTGCATGTAATGAATGTTAACTACCATCTCCTCTAAAAAGCTTAATAATTCTAACTTTTAAATCCTTCAACACACCCCCACAAGTGTGACCTTCTTTTTGGTCCAACGTATGTTTTAGTTTTAATTATCGGGGTGATGGTGAGGCTTAAACGTAGGACCTTGTCTACTCTGATACCATATTAACCACCATCTACCTCTAAAAGCTTAAGCTATTAGAGAGGATGTAACTCTAATATTTAAACCCTTCAACAATGAAGAAGAAAAAAGGTTCAACAACAGTAACTGTATGTTTGGTGGTGTTTGTATCTGTCTTCTTTGTTGATGTCATCATTACAATCTTCAGATCATCAGTGACATATTCAATTAGGACCAAAGGTATGGCATATCAAAGCTCTAAGTTCAAATGCTCGTTCATGGTATTCAAAAACTTTTAAGTGTCACAGCAATCAATAGTTCTCTAAAATATAGGAAAAAACAAGGTCATCATGTCAAATCACTGGAGTGAACTATAGAAAATATGCAGAAACATGTGATCTTTCTCTAAGGTGGCAAATGATTTGTCTCTGCATGTCTAATTCAGTATGATGTTCAATACCTGCTCCTAGATTCTAGGAGGAAGGGAAAATTCTGGCGTACATGTTCTGACCACAGTCGTTGATTTGACCCGCATTCAACCTTTTAAGCCTGAAAATATAATAACAAAATAAACACAACCACACTGAAATCATAATATCATGGGGAATGAGTAGAGAACAAAATGACATGAAAAAACTTTACAAAGTAAATGTCTTCAATTTGTTATCAATATGCTTTATTCTTCCTATCTCCATGATGATCAGTTCATTTTCGGCATAAAATAAGAAAAATATGCACATATCTTCTCTCCCTCTACTTTTTCATTCTATTTGCTTGGGGGAAGAGTCTGGAATAGTGATTTCCTGCCTTTACAAAAGAGAAACAAAATCACAAGATTCTTTTTAAGGTTGCCAGTAAATGAATAATTTTAGCAGCCACATCATGGTTGATGCTAAAAATTATCACTAATACTAATATGAACATTGCATAAGTATTGGTTTTGATTTGAAATTGGTAATCTATGAGTCAAGTGTGATGTTTGCTACCCAATAAAGTAGCAGTCCATGAATTTGCTAAGAAAAATAGCGTAAACTATGATCTAAGAATTTTATATTATGTATATATATTTACCAAAACAATGGCATAGTTTACATTTGCCTTACTCCCATTCGTAATATAGAAATATGATCAAATGATTTTTTAATTGATCAACTGCTGAATATGCAATTGCTCTGAAATGTTTTTCACGAAACTGACAGGACATTCATAAATACAGAATTTCAATGTGAAAATAAGGACTGGTAACTGAATATAAGGCCCAATATATAAATCAAAACAAATACACTAATAATATCATAACAAATAGGCCATTATAGGTTTTGGGAAAAGGCCCAATAAATCAAAATAAATAGACTAATAATGAGGTTTTGGAAAAGTAATGGAATAAAAGAGGTTTTTAGACCTTCTCAAACCCCCCAATATTTTGATCCACCATGAAATTCTGATCTTCTTTGCTGTAGTACTAAGAGTTCATTGATCAAATGTTTTTGTTTGAGTCTGATGATCACCCATGAAAACCCATAAAGATCATATGTTGAAATAAATCATCAACAAAAATCACAACAAAAAGTGCTGGTGTGCTTTCATGTTCTGCTTCCTCCTATGGTTTCCATTGCTTTGCTTTCATCATGATTCAGATTTATTTGCAGACAATATTCATGGGAAAACAACATTTTCTAACTACGCCAGTTCTTTCATTTTCGGAGAATCTAGTCCTCGCCATGGTTTTGCTGAAAATTCCAGTGAAATCACTAGTCCAGTGACCATAACACCTGATTTGGGTTCGTGCTCAGGTCAATACATCTATGTTCATGATCTTCCTAGCCGGTATCAATGATGACATTCTTATCAGTAGTTTGGCTGGGCACAAATGGTATGTTTCGTGCCAGTCCATGTTGAACAAGGGTCTTGGTCCTACGGCTACATATTTTAATGGGGTTCTCCAAATACAGGTTGGTTTGTGACAAACCAATACATATTGGAAGCCATTTTTCACAACAAAATGAAGCAGTACAAGTTCTTAACAATTGACTCACCACTAGCTTTGGCAATTTATGTACCATTTTATGATGGACTCAATGTTGGGCATTACCTATGGAATTTTAACACATCTATGAGGGACTCTGCTGCTCTTGATCTGATCAAGTGGCTCGCTGAGAAACACAAGTGGAAGTACATGTGGGGTAAAGACCAATTTCTTTGTTGCAGAGAGGGTCCATTGGGATTTCGGGAGACTAATCTACAATGATTCTGCTTGGGCAGTAGACTCGTGTTATCACCAGAAGCTAAGAACACAACAACATTAATAACTGAATCAAACCCATGTCCAATAATGATTTTTCAATTCCATAGCTGACAAACTTCCATCCTTCAAGTGACAATGAGGTAGTATTTTGGTGGCAAAACAAGCTGAGAATACCCTACTTGTTCTCATTTGTGGGTGGACCACGACCCGATCAAGGTTTTAGCCGGAGTGAGATTATTAACCAGTGCCTAGCTTCAAGGAAGAAATGCAGGTTTCTAGATTGTAATTCTAGTGATTGAAATGACCAATTCAAGTGATGAAAGTGTTTCAAGGCTCTAGATTCTGCTTAGAGCCTACGGGAGACATATTCGCTAGGGGATCAGCATTTGGTTCAGTTTTGGCTGGGTGCATTCCGGTTTTCTTCCATCCGTGTAGTGCCTAGGTGCAATATATGTGGTATTTGCCTAGCCTTAAAAATGCACTATTTGAAGATATCTGATAAGGATCTTCACCAAGAATTATTCAAAATATTTGGTGTTCATACCAGATAAAGCAATTGAAGATGGATCCAACATTGAGAAAACATTGTTTGAAATACCCAAAGATGAAATCTTAGCTAAGAGGGAGGAGGTTATAAAGTTGATTCCCAGGATAATATATGCAGACCCAAGGTCTAGATTGGAGAACATTGAAAATGCATTTGATAAAGCAGTTAAAAGAGTTCTTGAGAGAATTAGGAAGAAGTTGAAGGAGGGGAATTCTAAATTTCATTTTGAAGAAGAGGATATTCACAAGTACAATCATTTTGGGACATTGAGAGAACATGAATGGAATTTTTCCTTTGCAAAAAGAAATGATCCCAATTCTTTCTGGTCAAAACTGGCATAAAAAGGAACAATACAACCGAAGAAACAATACCAATTTCTTCATGGTTGTAGACAGGTCAAGTGGCTTCTTTACCTTCTCCTTCCAATGTTTCTTTTATTTCATTCTTTTCTGGTTTCTGGTATTAAGTATTTATTTAGTTTCCTTACAAAAATCAATATTTGTTCCTGAAACAATCCATAACATTTGCAGGCTTGTCATGCCTCTAGGAATTTAAAAAATGTCAAATTTATAATATCATAGTTACAAACAATTGTAGCCTTGTCATGCCTCTAGGAATTTCAAAGAAGTCTAATTTATAACGTCATAGTTACAAATAAATATTTCCCCTTTGGCTTTCATATTCCGACAATTAATTCTCCAAATGTATGTTCTCAATCAGATAAAAACCAGATTAGCATGCCGATCTTTCAGAAATCACAACATGGGTAAAGTGTTATTTTATTTTATTTTAGGAAAAATAATACATAGTTGTGAAACATAATGATAGGACAAATAAATGAAAAGCCAAGAGAACTAATGAGGCACCTCTTTAGTTAGTACTCTTCCATGAGGACAAGAATGGAGTGTCTGAATTCTCCCAAGTAGCTAACATGTTTTCACATCTGTCACCTGGCCTTAACAGCATCAACAGAGGCAAAAGATTCAAGTTCAGCAGTCTCTTCCGGTGTTAGCTTTACTTACAAAGCTCCAATTTATGTTCTAGTTCAGATTCTCAAGCTTGGTGGTGCCCAGTATGGGACAAGCGTTGCTGCCTTGGTGATGATACCCAAGCCAAAGGTAGCTGTGATGGGGTGCAATGCAACCCTTCCTTATTGCTGCCATTTCAATAACTCTCGAATATGGTTTTATTGTGCTCCAAATTCTCATATTGGAACCTTGGTAGATACTGCAAAAGAAGAAATATCTAGTACTATATTAATTTGGGCATCAAAGCTTGGAACCAACAATACGAGAGGACTCAATGATCACATCAACACAATTATAATGTTTAAGTTAAAATAATTTAGAAACAAAATTTATATGTTTCCTCCTGGCTAATCATGATCATACAATGTGAGTAGCTATTTATAATGTCAATATAAATGTCAACATCTTGTTAATTTAGAACCTCGTTTAGGTGAGACTAGGAAAGCTTTGTTAGTCTCAGAAGATTGATCACTTGATGATTGATTTACATGTGGAAAGAAATATTAAATTCGTGGCAACTGAAAAATAACAACCGATTGATGATGACGACACTAAGCAAAATTCTTTTATGCCTAATGCTACTAAATCACATTCTACCAAGGACCTTGTGGCCCAGTGTATCTCTTCAACCTCCCAAAGTAGATGGTGAGGATTCAAGTCCCGTAGGGACAAATGGGTGCGTATGGCCTCAAATACTTATATCTTTTATTTTTCCCTCTTCAACTAGTTTCTTGAATTCTCCCATTTAGCAAAAGCATGCCCAAAGATTATCAACATTAATTCAATGTGTCCTGATAGCATTGAATTAACATTATTTCAATAAAGGGCTAGTCACCATCACAGAGTCTGTCTGCGTATGAGCCTATTGAGAGACTATTCGGTTACGAACCATGACCTCCGAGTCACAATGAAACGATCTTACATTATATATTACTCCACAATGCAATGCAGCCATTTACATCAAGGATATAGGACAGGAATTTTAATTTAGTGACCCCATTTTATGCGACATAATTTTACTTCATATGAAATACAAAGTGGGTATTCGATTTCGAAACCTAACCAAAGAAATAAAAGTGAAGACAACAAATTAGTACAAATTTACTGTAATTGATAAGAGAGAGAAATGGAAGTGATTGGTCACCGACTCACCGTGAAGCGAGCAGTTGTGAAAGCTAATGCCGAACTTGGACCTATTGTATTTCTTTAGTAACGGGATGAGTGTTGTCAGAGCGTTTTTATCTTTCCGATTAGGTGAACAAGATCAACAACCTGGACCAAACGTCCGAGTTCAAAAAATAAGAGCAAAGGGTATGATTCCTCGTGTTTGCCTCTTTGCATTCACATTTGTAGAGAGTCAGGCCCTCTTGCGCTGAAGTACCACTTCTTCAAAGGGTTAAAACACCCTCTGTTTTTTAAAATGTGCAAATAACATTTTTGAAGTAAGTAAAAATACGAACGTACCTCCAATATTTTTTATTCAATAATAATAAAAAAATTGAAGAAGTTGAAATGATCCAAATAGACATTGACCAATACTGCGTCGTTTTGGGTAATGTGGTAATGAAATCTTATTTCTCTCAGCTTTATTTTATTTTATTTTTTTGGTGAATTTCTCTCTCTTCTCTTCGCTCGTCAGTGTTCATGGTGAAGGAGGGTTTTCATTCAAGTCGCCTTTGTCCCTTGGCCTGGCCGTTCTCCTCATCGCTATCGACCGCCGCATCATCAACCATCGCTGTCGACCCCCGCTTCAAGAAGTGCCGAGTGAGACACGGTCAAATCATCAAGATCAGAGGTAAAGACAAACAAAACTACAAGATCCTTCGCATCCTCAGAAAATTCTCCCGTTGTAATAATCTATATATATATATATATATATATTCTTCCATTGGATTTTGAGATTTTGATATGTTTTTCTTGGATTACTCGGATTGTGAGTGTTGATGTTGTGAAAAAGTATTTGGAGAAGATAGATTTTGATATGTTTTTCTTGGATTAGCTCGGATTGTGAGGCCGTTGTGATTGAGGAATTTTAGAGGAGTGTTTCGTGGGTCAAAACAAAAATAAGAAGTTACAAGGTGTGGGGCAACAACAATGGAGGACAGCGGCGATGAAATTGAGCTCGGCAGCGGAATTTTGGCGGAGCTCGGGGAATTGGGTGGGCGTAGTGGAAGAGGGTGAATCCAGAATCTTTTCAAAATCTCACAATTTACCTTTTCCAAACTCTTCTGTGTAACCATAATCCATCCAAATCCTCTGTTGATTTCACATTGCAAAATTTTAGTCACTTTAGTGAGAATTTATGGAGCATAACACAAAAAAATAAGTAAATAAATAAGTAAAATTGGTGTTATATGTCTTATAAAATTAATTCATATGATTTTGCAGGTTTCTCCAGGTTCTGATTGTATTTTTGGTTAAGACGTCGTAGCGATCAACACCATTGACAAAAGCTGTAGTATGCTTGGAGAACTCAACAAGTGGGCTATTGTAACTCCTGATATCAATTCCCTCCTGAACTGTGATTAACTTGTACTAGATTAATACTAGTTGCAAGTAGTTTGTTCGATGTAAATCAAGTGGAAAATGTAAAGAAGTTGAGCTAGTAGAGGGTTGTATGTGTAAATACGTAGCCAGATTTACTGACTGCAAATTTGGTGGCTTCTAAAGTTGCTCTGTGCATTATTGAGCTCCAATGTTTCTTGAGGAATATTAAGGGAATCACTGAAGCTTCTTTTACAGATGGGTTGGAACCTCAATAACATCTTCAAATTGAAAGTTAAATATGAAGAGACTAACTGTTAACATTGCTAGTATTGAAGTAGATGATAATTCTATAAACCTCTTCAACTCCATGGCTTTCTTTTATAATATATGCCTTGCACCTCCCATTGGCCTTTCTTTAAAATTTGTGATGCTTTGATCTGCCAGTGTCAAATAAATCTCGAGCACGAACATACCTGCAAGGGAAGCTAGTGGCTTTACCAATTAAGCTATTGGGTAATATAAATAGGAGATAAATAATAGAAATGTGAATATAATAAGTATTATATATATATAATATGTTTATTATATATAGATTATTTATAAAAAGAAAATTAATTAATACAAATAAGAAAAAAAAAACATACAGAAAGAAAATATATATATATATATAGAAATATGAGTATTATATATAGAAATGAGGGATATAATATAAGTAGGAGAGAGAAATATGAATATAATGAGTAATATATATACAAAATAGGAGAGAATAACAAATTTTAAAAATTATTTTCATGTGTACAAAAAACCCCCCTGTATTTTCAAAAGTGTGCGAACAAACCCCTATAGGCATTTTGGGCAGTGCAAAAGGGTAGTTTTGGTATTAAAGGTCAACTTTTGGTCACATGCACGGCACATGCCAAATTTGTTGGTCAGAAGCCTTTATTTGCAACTTTTTGAAACTAGAGGGGTCAATTTTGAACAACATGGGTGTTATTTGCCCAATTTTTTAAAATAGAGGGGTGTTTTTTGCACTTACCCCCTTCTTTAAATGTTACCGGCACAATTTATTTTTTATTTTTTTCCCTCCGAGCCCTAAGGTGATAAAATTTTGGCTCCCTAATTAATTGATTTTAGGGTTTTTTTTTTATATTTAAATACCATAATTTCATATAGGTTTTGACATTGGTCTTTTATTAAAAAAATATTAGAGATTGATAATATTTTGGGTAACTTACACTCATCTCCCATGAATTATCATCAATATACTCAGACTTCCCCTCTTGATTGCTAGATTACACTTACTTCCCTTGAGATTTGTATCTTTATAACATGAACCACCCCTCCATTAACAATTGTTAATGGTCATCACGATAATTGCTGACGTAAGCAGCTTTTTTCTTTCTAAGTTCCTAAAATGCCATTTTAGTTGATGTTTTGACAAATTTAACCTTATTTGTTCAAACAAATTTACTAAAACACTCTTCAACTTGTCATTCCCTTTTTCCTAAGCCTTTGGGTCTCTTCAACACGTCTCTGTCGGCTCAAGATTTGGGTATGGCTCCGGCACCCGATGATTGACGTTGGAGCAAGGTGCTCACTACCGATCTCTAGAGCAACATTATGTATGCAATACCCCATATATTTTAGAGGAAGTATTTAATTAAATTAATTACCTTTAAATGAATTTAATAGATTTATTTATTTTAAATTAATTATTTGTTTACTTGTTTATTTGATTTATTGGTATGATGATGTGCTTGATTGTTAATTGATTTGTTGGCGTGCTGATTTTTTATTTGTATGGTATGATTTGGTTGTTAATTCTTGTTTGATTATGTAATACATGTATTTAGTTGTTTTAATATTAAGTATATATTTATTTAATTATTTGTTTAAGTTTAATGGACTGGGCTTGGATTATTTGAACTAAAGGATTTGGGTCTTGGGTTGGAAAAGGAAGCCTTAAAGGATTTGGGATGGTTTAAAGGACCATCGCAAATCCTTTAAGGCTTCCTTTTCCAACCCATTTATATATATATATATATATATATATATATATATATATATATATATATATATATATATATATTATGCGTATTAAATGAATTATATAAATATATATATAATAATTATATAGAGAATTATATATTTATAGTAAGTATACATGTATAGGACTATATGCATATATATGGTAAGTATTGTTAAAAATGATTTATAAATATATATTGCATAATATAAATATTTATATTTATATATATTATGTATATTAATATAGTTGGAGTCCTACATGGAGGAGGATTTGAATTGGCAATATATATTATTTATTTATTTATATTTATATGTGTCATGTATATTAATATAACTAGAGTCCTACTTGGAAGGGGATGTGAATTGACAATATATATTATTTGTTTTTATTGTGTGAGAAATATATATATATGTGTGTGTGTGTGTGTGTGTGTGTGTGTATTTTATTTAAGATTATTATTATTTCTATTTGGGCAATCATACTTGGAATAGGATTAGGGTATTAATGTGTATAAATATACACATAAGGTTTTATTGTTAAAAGATTTTCACGTTAAAAAATAAAATAAGAGAGGCAGAGAAGAAGAAAAAGGGAAGGCTGTGTAATGACCCAGTCATTTCCTTCCTTTCCTTTTTCGGCTCATTTTTTTTTTCTTTCTTTTTTTTTTTCGTCTTTTTCCCATTTTTTGTTTTCCCTTGCATAACCTCACTTTTCGTGTCCGATTTTGTTTCTACTTTTGCATGCATCTATGTATCATGATTTCATTGACACGTGTATTTTTACTTTCTTAGAAATGCATGTTATCAGTGTACTTTCTTCATTAAGGGTATGGATGCACACATCTTTGGAATTTTTCTTTCTTTTGGAGTTACTTGTGTAATCACTTAAAGTAATTATTTTTGTCTTAAGGACCATTTTGCAATTAAGTTTGCAAGATATTTAGAGGAGGGACTCATTTGCAAATATTTTTGGGTTATTTTGGGATTATGATTTTAAAAAGGGGTTTTTGTGTAATTGACCCAAAGTAGTGTGTGTTGACCATGGTACTAGTTCACATAGTGAGTGGAGGATCTCTATATCCTCCACTCACATTTCATCTCCCTCACATTTTTACATTATTCTTTACAATAGAACCCTAGACTCCATGGATGAAGCTTAAAGCCTTAAGCTTTGACTTTGATTTTTGAGGACCTTCTATTGATATTCAAGCTTAACCTTGGGAATGCTTTTTGCTCCCCTCATCCTCCTCTACGTAACCCTTGAAGGGTGAATCATTTGGAGCTTCCTAGCCTTGGATTCTAGAGATACTTTTCTCTAGTGAGGTAGGGGGTGATTTAGGTTTATAATTTAAGTGTTTTGATTGTATTTATAGTTACTATAAATTGTTTACATGTCTTGTATTTAATTTTGAAATTGTAGGTTGTCACATATTGCATGAAATTAAGTTAGGACATGATTTTCTTAAAGGCCATGACTTGCTCTATAACTTGTATTAGTATAAAGTCATTGGGAGTTGTTTTTGAAATCTAGAGATTTAATTAATTTAATTTGATTTAAATTCTACTTAATTGTACTTTGCTTATATTCCATTTTAGACTTGATATATGGCATGGTCATGACTTAATCCTTGCTATATATTAATTTGTGATCATTTGCATAATTTTTAAAATCTAGAGAAATTAATTAATTAATTAGTTTAATTAATTTCTATTTAAAAGTTCTAATGACCTAGTCATGTATTTCATGGAGTTTTTGTGTTTTTTTATCATGTATCTAGACTTCTTGTAACTTGATTTCGTTAATGTAGTTAATGAACTAGCATAATTGTTTTTGAATGATTTAATCACTCATATGTTGCTTAGTAAA